TTTTAAAGTATGAAAATATCCCATTGCCATAAATAATGTTGTGCCAAAATAACATAGCTCTGTATTGTAAATTACTACATCTTAAAATAAACTTAAGCAATTACTGCGTTGAAGTATGTACCCAGTAGCCTAAGAGTAGGCATAGCCTAGAAATGCAGATAACCTTTGGTATAATAAAGTATCTTCATTCAGAGTAGGGAAAACTGCCCGAGCAGCTGGCGTGTGGAAGTCACAGCTGCCAGGCCAAATCCTGCCTCAAGCATGACACAAGCAGTGCCATTGATTTAATGGAACTTGTTTGTGTGAATTATGGTTACCGGGCTTGGTTCTAGGCAGAAAACCTGAATTTAATTTATTTTCAGAAAATAACACCCAAGATTTCTCCCTACTGCCTTTTAAGCAGGAAAGTTTATTCCAAGTGCTTCGGAAGAGGAAAAGCTAGTTTCAAGAGTTATTTGCAGTATTTTGCAACGTACATGTTGTTCCAGTGTCCCTATTTAATAATTTCTTAAACCTATCTCTGAAATAGCACTTCATCTATTTCTCTAAATCGATGAAATGTGTTAGAAATACCAGCTGTCTGTACACGTATCTGTACAAAACAACTGATCCGTGAAAGTATATTAATCAATATCAGAAGCAAACGTTTAATGTTTTCCAACTCTAACACTATATTGATGAGCGTTTACCAGGGAGGGGTCCAAGTTTAAGCCATGACTAATTCTGGCTCCAGGGAATGTGTATTTGTGTGATTTCAGCCCAGTTTTATCTTTTGCTCAGCAAAAAAGTCCAGGCTAACTGGCTGGAGTTAGGATAGCCACTCAAACTAACTACCCCAACGATTTTTAAAGGACTTTTTTTGTTTCAGGTAGTCGGGAATCTGCTTTTGTACATGCCATCTCCTCCGCTGGAGTTGTTTTTGCCATCACCAGGGCATGTAGCCAAGGGGAGCTGAAATCCTGCTCCTGCGATCCCGAGAAGAAAGGCTCTGCCAAGGACAGCAAGGGCCATTTTGACTGGGGTGGCTGCAGCGATAACATCGACTACGGCGTTAAATTTGCCAGAGCCTTTGTGGATGCCAAAGAACGGAAAGGAAAAGATGCGAGGGCGCTGATGAACCTTCACAACAACAGAGCTGGAAGGAAGGTGGGTGTCCACCCAACAGATGCCTGGAGATGCTCTCAGTGAGCTCCCGCAGGCCTGGGGCAGGTGACGGTTGGCCCTTGCTGACGGGTCCCAGCAGTTAGGAAGAAGTACGGGATGGGCGGGAGCCTGAGATGCTATTTCTGTCTCTCTTGGAGGTTCAGTGTGGCAGATATCTCCGAACAGACCGGGTGCAACTGCTGAACAGTGCTCCCATCTCAGTCAGTTCAGCGGCTCCTTCTGTGGAAAGTTAAGCCCAAGTCGCTGCAGGATCGGTTTGGATGGAGGTTTTGTTTTGAGCCTAATCCTTACATATGGAGGAGTTTTACTTTCGATTAATAAAGAATAGAAATTCCTAAGGGAGGCTGAAGACCACACTGAAGAACAGGCTTGACTATTAAAGAGCAAATTCAAAATAGCATTGGAGAAAAAAACCATACTGTCCATTCCTGTATGTTTATGATAAACCTAAACACAAAGTGAGCAGAGATAAAATACAATTACTTCACTTTTTAAGAAAATAAATCCAAAATGCATGTCCCTCCAAAAGGCGTTGGGCTTGGGGCATGACCTGCTCTAAACAAAACCCTTCTTTAAACATTGTACGAAAATACATACCATTTTTGAATTTCAACGAGAAGAGTCTTTACTTCTTTATTGTAGGTGAGTTGAAGGAGTAGTTGCCGAATGTATTGCCCACTGCTGGTGCAAGGGCTGAGGAATACAGACACTAACATTTTGCGGTGGTAGTTATAAATAGTAAGAATAGTGCATGAGACTGGAATACGCTGTTTCATTATTCAAAACATATTCAAAATTTGTTGCATCCAAAACGTCTGAAATAATACAGAAAAATATTGTATAGTGCTAGATCAAGCACATGTAAAATGAATCTTAGAGACTTCTTGTTTCTTGTCTTTCGTTTTCCTTAATGTACATTCAGTAGGAATAAATTGTTCATATTCTGATCTTTTTGTATTAAAAAGTTCCCTTTATAAACTGTAACATTGTTCTATACTAACTAGCCCCTATTAGAAGAAAAGATCCAATTTTAATGAATTGTACTGCAAGTAGATGATTTTCCTGATAAATATTTCTCCTTCAACATCTTTCCTGTTTATTACCAGCAGGTGTAATTAATACATAACAGAGACAGATGAGGCTATTCAGCTCAGTGATATGCGTATGCAATACTATGGCTGTATTTATGTTACTGTCAAAGAGACTGCAGTCTACAGCACAAGCAAAGACTTTATGCAGGTGAATTAGGTCCATGCTGGGAAATACTTTCTGAAATAGTTGAGTATCTTAGTAAGTTTAAAAAGTATGTATATGCCAAATAATAAGACAGTATTGGTAAGCAGGTAGTTTGAGGGTTTTTTTAGGAAAAAGATAAGGAGACTTTAATAAATGTATTTGATTAAAAATAATCAACACATTCTCATATGCTTTAGGACCTGCTTTCTAGAAAGGAATGCTGTTTTGTATCCACCATGCAGGGACCTCACTACCTCAGTCTGCTCACAAGCCTGGCATTCAGATGTGGGTAAGACCAGCTGTGCCCTCGGCTTTTTCTCACCCCCAAAAGGGGTGTTGATAGGTTTCTTTTAAAACTAGACTATTCAGTTTTTACTAGTTCAAAAATACCTTGTATAAATATTTATAATAATCCCATATGAATCATACAAAATAATATGCAGTGTATCAGTATAGGAACATCACTGACAAAAAAGTCCTGCATCCCTGTGTGCTCCCTCTGCTATTCCAGGCCTCAGTCCAGCAAGCTGTTTTAAAGATACAAGTGGTTTAACTGATTCCTACTCAGATAATTAAAACCAAGCATCCGCTTAAATCCTTTTCTGAGCAGGATCCCAGTTTTGTGATAGTACTATTGGCAATGAAGTGGGGCTGTGGGAATGTCAGTGACTTCTTTGAAGTAGTCAAATCGTTTACAAGTTGGAAAGAAAGAAAATTAGAAGTACTTTGTTTCTATAACACATTCTCACTTTATGACTAAGAGCTTGACTGAAAAATGCCACCCCGCTGTGCATCAGTCCCATTCTTAATCATGGAGCTTTCCTCTCTCTTACCTTCCTCCCATGATGCTGTTTCTCATGTGCAAACTCTAAAATGTTCATATTTCATGAGCCCTTAAGGCATAATATTTATACATCAAATACCCATATCTTCAGAATTAGGAACGAATTATTTATCGTATATGAACCCTTCTGTTCTCCAACATCATACAGATAGCTTAAATGTCTGAGATGAAGCTGAATTGGCTTTAATGCTAACCAAACATTAAATTGATGATGAAGGTGATCTCTCCAGTGCAAGCTAATGAAGGTCTTACCCTAAATTGTTTGTTAAAAGGTTTATAAGCATTTTAAAAATACCGTATTTTAAAATTTTACGTAGAGCAGATGCCTAGCCCAGGTACGACGCCCAGAGACTGCTTTTGCAGTCTCTGCAAAATCATTTAAATATGAAATGCCTATGAATTTCTAGAAAATATTTGAAATGCTATTCAGGGCAAAGGGCAGCTTCATGAAGGCAAGCTAAGAGGGTCAGCATGGCAATGCTTCAGCTGGAACGATGGGGATAGGGGGTACCTTTGCCTACCAAGGGGCTGAGTGATTCTGTCCATTTCCCAGATCGTTTCCTCCTATCCAGTCTGTGTCCTAGCGCTGTGGACCATCTCGATCCTCGGGATGACTGGCAGGAGAGGGAAGGTAAGCCCACCAGCCGGAGGAATGTGTGTGCGGTTGAGCCAAGCAACCAGAGCAGACCAACCATGTGGGGATGACTTGATGCTACCAGTGGGTGTCACTACAGACCGTGATTTGGAGACCCATTGCGAGCCTGGCATTACAGGGTGAATGGAAAAGGGCCGAGAAGCGTAAATTACAGTTTGTTTTACCTGTGTATATTTTACTGCGTTTCTAAACAGGCCGTGAAGCGGTTTTTGAAACAGGAGTGCAAATGTCACGGTGTGAGTGGATCATGCACTCTAAGGACCTGTTGGCTGGCCATGGCAGACTTTAGGAAAACAGGAGATTATCTGTGGAAGAAATACAATGGAGCGATTCAGGTGGTCATGAATCAAGATGGCACGGGTTTCACTGTGGCTAATAAGAGATTTAAGAAGCCAACTAAGAATGACCTGGTATACTTTGAAAGCTCTCCAGACTACTGTATCAGGGACAGGGATGTAGGTAAGCCTCTATCGTTACATGTGAATGGTTTTATTTCAGACATTTGTACTTTGAAGGTCAAAAATTATCATTATTATTGAGTGTGTGTGTACATATATATATGTAAAAATCCATGCATGTAACCAGCAGGAAACAGGCAGGAAGACGTTTTGGAAGGACAGCTCTGTACAAGAACAATAGCTCCTCGATGCCCCTAGATGTACGACAGCCAGTTGTTCTAATATAATTCAGCAGTTTCTTCCAGGTGCTTTGGAGCCCTCGAGACGCTGCAAGGCAAAAGCTGCTTTTAGGACAAGTTTGAGTGATGCTCTGGAGGCAGGTCCATACTGTACACATCCACATACATGCTTGTACCACACAGCTCACTCCAGAGCTGCCAGATGTAACTACAGCAGCCCCAAGTCCCGTGATGTCCCTACGATACCACCTCCTGTCCCATTGCTTCTCTTCCATATTGTTACGCTACTGCTGCGGACCCTCAAGAGACCAGTGTCCTCCTTTATCTGCACATTCCTTGCAGCACGCGGTGGACCGTGGACCCCCTAGTTGCAGACACACCTCTCCCCATCGGTAACGTAGGAGGTACAGCAGCCTGGTGCAAACCATGCTTGCACCAGGCAGTGCAGCTGTCGGTAACGTGGTGCAAGGCAGCTGGAGGATGTGCAGGTGGATGAAAGAATAGAGGTCGGTGGGGCACAGCACACTGCATCGAGTGACACAGCTGTTTATTCCTCTTTATGAGACAGTGTTGGCTCCGTCCATGATAGCCATCACATTTTGTGAAGAGTTGTGCCAGCCCCAGCAGGAAGAGGTAAAGTTTCGGGGCTGCTATTAACACTGAATTTTTCTGCTGTCGGAGATTTCAATAGAGACACACTTAATGGTGTTACAGGATTCAAGGCATTGCCAAGCACCAGGAATCCTGCCAACGATCTTGACCCGTGTATAGTATTTCCTAATGTGGTAATTAAAAACTAGCAACTAGAAAACCAGAAATTTGGAAAAGAGAGCCGGACTGAGTAATGTATGAAAGATGTTGTGGAACTAACTAATAGGTTGTATAACGTACCAGATTGCACCCGGTATGACGTATTTGTAAGTATCTGGATAGCAATGGAGCTCAACTCTTTTTGGCACTGCTGCATATTTACAATCCAAGTTTACTTGGAATAAGCATTGCAAAACAACCATACTTAAATAAGAACAATATGTGAAATCCTAGTCATGTACTGTTGACTTCAGTGAACCCAGAATTTCATCCAGTACGCTTGTGTTGTACAGTGTTTCGGTTAGTTGAGTAGTCAAGGTAATTTTAAATGTTATTTATGGCTTTTGCAGGTGATGCTTATTACCTTATGTGCTTATTAGCACATATTGTTCCTTGAATAGTGACTGATACTGTAAAGTCTAATACTTTAATCCAAGTGAATAAACAGGCATATTGTGGCATTGTGCAGAGACTAACTTTGCAGACTAGGATTTATTCAAAACTTTATTTCTTGAAGTTGCCTCGTTCATTGTAAAATGTGTGATTTCTTTCGCCTAAAAAGGAGAGCCCATACACGACTCACTTCTATGTCAAAAAGCCGTTTAATAATCTCTTTGTACTAAGCCTAATCTCATCTGTCAGTCTTGTTATTGTGGAGGAGAGCGGGCATTTTTCACCGCAGTGTATTACGCGCGCTTGGCTGATGCTGTCAAGCCTGCCCAGAGATGGCAGAGTCTGACACGTGCTTTGGCTCAGCTCAAGATAAGGCTGCGGATGAGGCGGTGTTTCTTTGCTGCCCAGAATTCAGAGAATGTGGCTGTTTGGAGGAGCACATTTTTGGCAAGCTGCAGTAAACCTTTAATGGGATGCGGGATGCCCTGCTCCTTGTGTGGAGCAAAGAAAGAATCAGACGAACAAAAACGGATCTGGCTTTAAGAGAGGTAATTTCGGCAGTGGAGCAGCATTTTTTCTTTATTACCTTTGATTTGCCCTGTTGAGTGCTCCAGAGTGTCAGCCCTGTTAAATGACTGGAAATGAAATGAGATTATGGAAGTCTGAGTTTGGAAAGTCTGACTGGGAGCATCTCAGCATCAGCTAAATGTAATACCACAGCGCGTTAGTATGTCCTTGAATACAGTTCTGCCTTTCATTCTCCGGGGAATTCAAGCAATTTAGTGCTTCAGGAAAAAAAAAGTATATCTGGAGATTGGTTAGTATTGGGACTGAAGGGAGGATTTCCCGAGCAAAACTTATGAAGCGTCACGACTTGACCAGGAGACAGCTTCACACACTGTAAAATGACCAAGCCAGTGTCCTCTGTGGCTTGGGTGTGCTAAGACATATGAGCCAGTAAATTAAAGGTGCTCAGGGGTTGTATCATCAGCGGCCTATCCAAAAAAATATGCATCTCATCTTCTGCTGTTGGGGCTTCTAGTGGAGGCTCTTCTCTCTGGTGGCGGGCAGCCACTGGCTCTGGCAGTCTGTCTGGGGGAGGCAGCTGGACATACATGAATCAGCCCTACAAAGTGAAAAATGTGTTGTTATTATTTTTTTCCTAGAAGGAAAAGAGGAGTCATTGCTTTCAGGAGTGAGATAATAAGTGGAAAACACTAACAGCAACTTAATAGCAAGAGAACGTAATAACCTGACCACCTCTTGTCTAGCATTAAGATTTCACGACTTTTAGGAAAGGACCAAAGGAAGATTTTCAGAAATGTTCAGAATTCACTTAACTCTGCTCACATGGATGCTGAAATAATTTTTACTAATAATTTTGTACTTACAATTTGATAGAAACAGAGGAAGGACATCCCAGAGGGCTTTTGAAAATCTTGTCATGAACTTACAAATTTTGCCACACTTTGCATGGTCTTCCCTCATATTATCATAGATTTCCAGCTCCGAAAACCAATACAAGCATACCCAGGACTACACAGGGAGAGACCTGTTAGAAATGATAAAGCTGTGAAGGGAACTAAAGTGACGGCCACACAAGTGGCAGTCCCGCTGCAGCACGTACCTCTTACCCTGAGTGCGTAACTTCACCTCTGACATGCTCTTAAAAAGCTCTTGCTTGGCTGCCTGTAAGTTTCTGTTAGAGCATTTTAAGTTTTGAAAGATTGCCGTTTGACCATCCATGCAGGCTAGGCTGATTGAAAGCTGTTGCAAGTTTATTATGTTTTGAACGTACCGGTGGACAAGCAGAGAGTGCTTTAGGAATAAACATATGAGCCGTAGCGTGGGCATCACCAGCTTGCTGGCCGAGCTTTCGTTACAGGCTGTTGTTCACAGAGACTATTACAGCAGTGTAATGTCTTCCTGCAAAAGAAAACATTTGAGAACGGGTTTATTAAAAATTAATTTGTACAGAGCAACCAAAAAACGCAGGCGGTGTTTGAGTGAAGCCTCTTCCTGCAGGGAGACCCCCACCAAAGTGTGTAAAGCAAGCTGAGCTCAGCTACGCGTGTGCAGGTGGTGCGTATGAGCCAGGAGGTTGTGTCCCCTAGCATGGACACCAAGGTGGAGGTGGTGGGCAAGCAGCAAGATGGCGTTAGTGAGCGTGTGTTGACTGTTCACAACTGTTCTGCTAGCAACGAGGCTTCGGCCGCATGGAGGTGGTGGTGGAGCAGAGGCAGGTCGTGTCTACGTGTAGATGGTCTCGAGCTGCTGCAGCAGTGCCTCAGGACCTGCTGCAAACACATGTGCCATGTGCTTCAAGTCATCCGTAGGTTTCTCCCAATACTCACGTGGTCCCGGTTTGGGCGCTGTCAAAGCTGGCGTCGCTGCCTCTGCCTGCGTGTAGGGTGTAGGTTGTGTACGTGGACTGTGGTGGCCATCTCCTGTGTCCCCAACAGGCAGACAGGGTGCTGCGGCTGGGTCTGAGGACCCTCCACACCTGATCTCCTGGTGGAAAGCACTGTGGAGATGCATGTGCAGTGCTACGGGCAGCCCCCGGGAGCTGCGCAGTGGGTGAGAAACTGCATGCCCAGGGTGACCTGCTTTGGGTCCTTCACAGGATTATTTTCGTGCTGCCCCTCGTAAGCCGTTTGCTGCATTTTTGAGATGAATGAGGCTAAGTCCGGAGTGAAAGAAAAACGTGAAATTGAAGCGTAGCCTGCAAAGTACTGGTGTTGGGCAAGATGTGTTAGTACTTGAGGTATGTAACCCATGGAGGGAAACCAATCCTGATCTATGTCAAAGACTTCTCACTGAGGTTAGCCGCATACAGGCAGTCCCTGTGCAGCTTCTTGGCCGGTATCTCCCAATTTACGCATTGCAAACATGTTGGGTGCAGTCCCAGCCCCGTGCAAGCTGACGGTGGAGCTTGCGATGACTTCCATCAGGGCAGCTCTCCTTCAAGCACCGTCCGGCAGGGGAGCAGCGCAATCCCCCCCAGAGCCTCTGGTTGCTGAGAGGTTATGACAGCTATCAGTGGCTACGGAAATTAGAGCGAGACACGTTTGCTCTAAACTGAATCTGGATGTTTTTATCAGCACGTTGCTGGCCTGGGAAATCCCAGCCCCTCTGGGCCAGGCTGCCTCCGGCGTGCGCTGCCTGTCCTCTCCAGCCCTGCTGTACCGAGGTGTTGTACGCGAAACGTGTCAATGTTTCTTGGTTTGAAAAGTAGCTTCAGAGCTACTTTTATGTGAATAATTCCTTTTTTTTTCCCCCCAAACGGTCGTGTGTAAACTAGTTTATTTTTGTCAGGGGTTTCGCCGCTTTTCTTTTTTTTAGGTGAAAGTCAAGTCATGAACTTTATTGCTTGAAGCCAGATTTTTAATCAATAGAAATAGAAGGGAAAATCTCACATTATAAAGGAATAAATACATTTTAGTGCTTTAGGAATGGGAAAAAATATTTTTCAACTTACCATATGTTTGCTTAAGAAAACAACTGTGCAAACGAAGAAGAAAGGGTTTGATGTACGGGCCGTAAAGTTGGCGGTATTAAAAGCTGTGGATGTTTTGGCAGGTATAATGTTGTGTGTCGGCATGGCAATTCCAACACTTGAAATGAAAACAAAGAGGTTGTACGAAAACTTTTTACAAGTTAGAACATACTCCTGCCTCTTACGTGATGAGGAGGTGCGTTACAGGTAGCAGGCAAAGCTCAGAAAACTCTGCCGTATTTTGTTTAGTGTCTTCTGTTGTCTTCCTCACCTGGGTATGTGAATGCCCCCAGGGAGTGCAATGACGTGCCTGGCTGCTCGCCGTCAGTTATGGCCCATTTTCTTTCTCATGAGGGAAGCCGCAGAGATGCTGAAGATGCTGTCTGAACTTTTCAAAAACGTCGGTTTTGCTCAGAAACTAAGCCTTTATATGAGCCTGTTTTCTCTTTCGTTGCATTCTGTGGATAATTCAGTCTCCTCTCCTAGTGGCATAGTAAATGTTGATGTTGCACTGTGGGCAGTATCAGATGATACCGGCTTCTGACTCTCTGTTAGGGGCTGAAATCATTTTGGTTTTGAAGTAAGTGGCAAAACTCCCATTGAAACCAGCAGGCGTATCCCGCTCAGGTTCTCTTTCGCTGCTGTGTGGTTTCCCCAAACATCTGGAAATGAGAACTTTGGAGTTGGAAACTAACCTGTGCCTCGGCTGAGGAATGCTGTCAGACCTTCCCGGGGCAGCTCCTGCACCTCGTCACAGCCGGGTGCGATGCCCCGCGCCTGGCCGCACGCGAGGGGGACGTGGGGTCTTCCTTCCAGCCCGGCAGCCAGGCGGCACGGCCCCGCTCCGCTCCCGCTCCGGAGGGGTACTGGGGTGGAGAGCGGCTTTGCTTTGCCTCCGCTGGAGGAGCGGCACCTGGCCGGCTGCCGCGCCACGGTGGCACAGCAAAGGCTATCGAGTGTCCAGCTCGTTTCACACAAACCACACTCAGAGAGCAAAGCACCAAGGGGTTTGAAATCTAACCCAAATCACGGTTGTTGGAGATTATTGTCCTTGACATGCTGCGTTACACAGCCCGGGCACTCCGGGATATTGGGGCTGGGCCCCGTCAGCGGGGTAAAGCAGCACGCACAGCAAGGGAGGTGAGGGGGAGCCCGTGCAGGGAGGTAGGCAGGAATTCACACCCAATTCCTGATGCAGAACGTTAATCATGCGAGTCGCAAGCTTGGCCTTTGTATGTTTTTTTTATCTGAGCAGAGAGGGCAGGACAAGCGCCTGTAAAAGTGGTTTCAGTTGTGTTTTGCACAGTCGGGGATGCGATGGATAGTGCTGTGGGCTGACACAAGCACCAGCGCTTACTTAGGTTCAGATGTCCCAGCTGTTTGCACAGCGTCGTGGATGGAGGAGAACGTGGTAGCTGGGCAGCAGGGTTTGGTTTGTTTTCTGCCACAGGCTTCCTACGGGACCACAGGTGGATCACGTAGCTCTGCATCCTCCTGACTCTGGGGGCCACTGGAAGTCTGCCTCCCCCAGTGCGGAGCGATTCCTGGAAATCAGATCTGGGAAAGGCCTTTTGGCATCACTGCTTTGCCCATCGTGCAGGTTGTCCCAGTGCCACTGGCCTTGCAGGGAGAGCTGCATGGCAGAGGGCTTGCTCGGGGTGGTGTGCCCCTGTGTGGGTCGTTGCTGGTGGTGCCTCTCGTCCTCCTCCTCCCTGGGACCCCCTGCACCGGGATCCAGGTGCCGTCACTGGCTGCGGGGACAGGAGGCCGGGAGTTACTGCTGGTTCCCCGGTG